ATCCTCTCCCTGTAAGTTCAGACTTCGCAAGTTTGATATGAAAAACAGACCCTCGAGGACATGTCGGTAAATCTTCAAAGGGAACAGTGTACTGTATAACCTTACTCACATCATCCTGGCTACGTTGTTTCACTTTCTCAACAATAAAATAAAAGCATGATTTAGGGAACTGCTATTTTCCTTTTGATATTAACAATTTAACAGACAGCAGAAATGTTGAGGCATTGTGCTGCATATATGAGCGTCATCTTCACTGTGTGGATATTTATAATAAAACAGAGCCTATATAACATCACTGCCTCCTTTCATTCTCATTGAAAATACGAAACGTATCCTCTGCTTTGCTGAATGTCAGTTTTAATAAACAAGAATAGCCATTATGAAAGTATATCGCACAATAAGTTTATACATTATAGGAAATAAAGGCAAGCGATCAGTCAATATACAGAATGTTCGTGGTTACATTTAATTATTAACTTATCTTTGCGCTCAGCCAAAACACGTTACCTGAGAACAAGTAATCGATTCAAAAGACCGAAGTCTGGGAATATGTCGTTAGATACCCTGCTGAAAAATCCAGCTCAAACCAGCCTAGACTGGTTGGCTGGTTTTAGCTGGTTGACCAGCCTGGTTTTAGAGGGGTTTTGGCCATTTCCAGGCTGGTTTCCAGCTATTTCCAGCCTGGTCTTAGCTGGTCAGCCTGGAAAATGACCAGCCAAATCCAGCTAAAACCAGCTTGACCAGCCTGGTTTAAGCTGGACATAGCTGGTTTTGGCTGGACTCCCAGCTTGGCTAGGCTGGTCAAGCTGGTTTTAGCTGGTCATCTCCCAGCCTGACCAGCTAAGACCAGGCTGGAAATGGCTGGAAACCATTCTGGAAATAGCCAAAACCCCTCTAAAACCAGCCTGGTCAACCAGCTAAAACCAGCCAACCAGCCTAGGCTGGTTTAAGCTGGATTTTTTTAGCAGGGATAGACAACAGGATTAATTAAATGTCAAGTTTAATAAATATAGAGAGAATAGATCCAGTGGGAGATGCTTGATGAGCAGTCCGACCACCAGAGTTCTCATCTGGGTAGAAATGCTGCAGTGCTTGCTCGAGTGTGTGTGTGTGGTCACGTGATGTGCGTTTTCAGCGTTTTGGTGTGGACGGAGAGCAGTTCAGAAACGCTGAGTAAAACGCTAGTGTGGACGCAGATCGTTTTTATTCTAAAACGCCGATTTAAAACTAAAACGCACTAGTGTAAACGGGGCCTAAAGCCCAAATGCTGAGGCATTCAAACTGACCAATCAACATGTGATCACATCATAAAACCCCCAAAGTCCACTTATCAGGCCCTGATGTTATCAGTATCTGCCTTTGGAGTCCGTATGGACCTTCTTGAGTCAAAAAGACATGCTTTGTCATATAAACAAATGCATATGATAATTTAGCCTCTTACAATCCTCCCCTGGCACCGTTGTGACGCATAAAGAGGCAAAAAGGTGACATTAATGATGAAAATATGCTTTGTGATGTGTGCCGCTGTCATCTTCGGACTTCCTCTCCAGGCTGGTTGCAGGAATAAGGTTGGTCAGTCTTTGTTGTCCTTCAGCCCTTAGTGAGAGGTTTCATTCGAATGGTGTTGCACTGCTTATATGCAAATGTAAATAGTCCTTCATGCCCCCACACGAATAGGTACTGAGGAATGCAGGGAATCCCTGCTCTTCTCTTGAAGTAGATCAGAAGACGTGAACCTTTTCTCTATAGATCCTGTATTTGAAAACAGCAAATGGCACAACAGACAGCAAAAACACATTGCATTTGTCATTGATGAAAGGATTGATGTGCTCGGTTTGAGTTCTCCTCGAGCAAAATGCCCTCAAATTAATGTGATTGAAAATATGGTCAAGATCAAGACCAAATAAAAGCACGAAGCTCGTCACACAATATCTGGAAACATCAAAATTAAATTGCTTTACAACAAAATCAACAATAGCTGGTTAAGAGTATCAGCGAAATATTCAGTGTAACCAAATACGGTGAGTCTCGCCGGAAGTAGTAAGTCATCCGGGTACTTCTCGCATACCGTTTTTCGAATTCTATGAATTCGGACATTACTACTTGGCTCGCATACTGATTTTAGCGTACTATATAGTAGAGCTGCACGATTCTGGCTAAAATGAAAATCACGATTTTTTTTTGCTTAAAATAAAGATCACGATTCTGTAGATGTAGAATAAAGGTATGGTAAAAACAAACATATGGCACAACATCGATTATAATATTATGTGTAGGTCTACTAGTTTCTATAAATAATTCTATTCTACTTACAATAATTCTGATGTTGAATTATTATGTTTGAGATATATGCTTGCAATCTGTCATATTAGACAATTTAATTCACTGGTAAAATCAGACATTTGCCATTATCAGATTATATTCAACAATATATAGGCTAGAGTAGTTATACTGACATTGTAAACGTTTATTCTCATGCACAACCGTGTGTTCGCTATGAAAGAAAAAAACATCAAATGCTTGCCGTAATCATTACTCTATAATGCGATATGATCATTTAAATGACGTGCACACTTTCGGTTTCATTCTGACTGCTAAGTGCTTGTTCATACTTCGCGTGCGGCTCCCAAACGATCACTCTGTGCCACAAACTGAATATTATTTACAGCTGTATTACCTGTTACTCGCAACATATGCAGGTTCTGTTCATTAAAGTAGACTCGTGCGCACCCTCTCTGTGATAACAGCTCATAGTCAGCAGCTCACGTCACGTGTGATATCCCGATCGCGAAAACATCATTATATGAAGACAAAAGTGACATTTTTAGGTGAATTATTCCTTATAAATACAGTATGCGACTCATTCAACATCATTTGGAGGTGTCCATGTCACTGAGCAACGTGTGTGAAACAATGAAAAGACTCGCTCAGCCGCCTTTTCTTCTCTCCTGAACTTGAAAATATGATTGGCAGAATCATAGAAATGCTGGATTAAGATAGTCTAGGGTAGTGGTTCTCAAAGTGGGGGTCGGGACCCCCCGAGGGGTCGCGGGGCAATGAAGGGGGGTCGCCTGGTGATTTCCAAAAATCTATATTTTTATTAAACCATAAGAATTAACATATTTTATCCATAACTATACTGAAAATAAAAATAGTTGTTTATTGTTACTATATACTATATAGTTACTATAGTAGCTTATAGTTACTAGTTCTATTGGATAGCGACCCCTGGGGTAATTACATTATATTAAAGGCAGCAATAGCGTCAGATGCATTTTGATTTCATAACATCAGGTTATACTTTCTGGCACATTTAAAGCACTGACACAAATTTAATTGGTGTGTCTGCGTCATTGCATGCAGTGTTTCTGTATTTATAACCACCTCATAGGATATTGGGGGTCGCGAGTCACTGGCATTGTTATTTTGGGGGTCGCAGGCTGAAAAGTTTGGGAACCCCTGGTCTAGGGCAGGGGTGTCAAACTCAATTCCTGGAGGGCCGAAGCCCTGCACAGTTTAGTTCCAACCCTGCTCCAACACACTTACCTGTAGGTTTCAAACAAGCCTGAAGGACTCAATTAGTTTGATCAGGTGTGTTTAATTAGGGTTGGAACTAAACTGTGCAGAGCTGCGGCCCTCCAGGAACTGAGTTTGACACCTGTGGTCTAGGGGGTCAAATCGAGATCGCGATCTTTTAACTATTAGTTGTGCAGCTCTACTATATAGTATGAAAGTATGTGGTTTCTGACGCAGCCGAAGACTTTTCAGGACCACACTTGCAACCAAGGGGTGAGAAAGAATTCCCAGAATACCCCAGCAACAGCTGCACCCGGAAGTAAGGAGATCCACAAATTAGTATTTTTTTATTTTTTTTGTCATTATTACAAATTTTTTTAATATATTTATAACCGCGTTGATGTTTTACCGTCATGCTTTAAAAAAAAAACCCACTAAATTTCGTGACCTATAATCCCAAATCATAACTCCTGTACAGCAGTCCCACGACTTTCTGACACTCATAACACTTGAATTCCCTGACAGAAAAGTCTAGTGGCTGTCAATGGGCCCTATCATAAACCGCATGGCGCAAGGCGCAGCGCAATAGTCTTTTGCTACTTTAAGCTTGGCGCAAGGGTCATTTTGAGGTGTTGCACCACACTGTTTAAATAGCAAATGCATTTGCGCCCAAATGTGCGCCCATAGGCGTTCTGCTCTAATAAAGCAGGCGTGTTTTGGCGCGTCGCTATTTTGAGAAACTGTAAATAGTCTGATCTTTAGACCAGAACAAAGTCTATTGTCTGGCGCAAAGTGCGCCTGGCTTACACACTACACACAAGATGCAGAGCAATACGCAAATATCTTTACATATGAAAAATACATAATATCTTAAGGATATATATAATAAGGATATATATAGGATATAAATGATTAAAATATTACAAAGCATATTAATTTCTAGCCTACATAAATTTAAAAACCACTGCCTTCATACTTTCTTCATCTCGGGAGGCTTTTTCAGTTCATTCATTATTTGCTTTTGTATAATGTTATTATTATTAGCAGTATTATTTATTATATCCATATTTATATTTGTTTTATTAAAAACAACTTAGATTTGTCCACCTGCAGGTTTTAGACCATATGGGGCATGGCAGGTGTATTTGGAAATAACTCAGTATTTTGACCACACTTTGTTATTATTGTTCATTTATTCGTTTGCTGGAAATTAGAACTGAATTTAGAAATAGTTTTGAAACAAATCTTTGCGCTTAACAAACGAAATTAATTATTTATAGGCTAACTGATGTCTGTGCGGTAAGGTTTCCCTATCCACGAGAGCAAAAGCGAAAGTGAACTTACTTTACGTCATGTTAATAGCAATGCGCCTATGGCGTGACGCAGCTGACTCTTAAAGGGAATGGGAGATGAGACTCTGATTGGTTTGTTCTCAAAACACACCTATAACTCATTAAGAAAATAAACTCAACCCTTTTAGACCATGCGCCACGGCGCAAAGCGGATTTTCCCGTCCTTAAATTAGCATAAATGCGTTCTGACACGCCCTGAAAGCGTTTGCACCCTGCGTTTTGCGCTCTGCGCATGGACCGTCAAAATGGAGCCCATTGAGTTTTTTACAGTGTCTGCTGTAATGTTAATGCTGTTTTTGTGTGTTTACATTGATGAGTGTGGCCACTGTGTTAAATGCACAGTATTACAAACTTTCTGCCACATTAAATTGTCATGATAACATATTATATGCCTTCAGTGATTTCCTGAAGAGAAATACTAAAAAATAGCCCAACTGGAATCACTCCATCAGTCGCGATTGTCTGATTTCATATAAAGCAAGAAATGGCGAGGACATATGATGACGTGTGCTGTAGTGCTGTCGCAATTCTAAGAGGTACATTTTGAAGTACAAAAAAAGGGGTACAAAAATAGAATTGGAATTGGGATTGGGCCTAAATGTAAAATTAAAGTTACCAGAGGTAGAAGGAGAGGCACAGGGGGAGGGAGAGAGAGACCAAGAGAGCAGGCCCATAAGTTAGCCTTATTGCTGTAGAGTCAGAGAAGAATCACTGCGTCCGAAACCGCATACTTCCATACTATTTAGTACGCTAAAATCAGTATGCGAGCCGAGTAGTATGTCCGAATTCATAGAATTCGAAAATCAGTCGGCGAGAAGAACCCGGATGACTTACTACTTCCGGCGAGATTCTGAAGTGCGCATCCCATGCACGCTGCGCTATCCCATGATGCCCCGTGAGCAAATTCATGAATGGGAGTGAAGCGATGCAAATGACGCAGGTAGGTCGCATGACCATGACAAAATGGTGGATGTAGTACGTCCGAATTCCATTCATACTTTTCACATTCATACTGTATAGAGCGTACTTTTCTAACGGCCGAGTTGTACATTTAAATTCAATGCAGTACCTACTGAGTAGTAGGCGGTTTCGGACGCAGCTATAAACTCCAGAGGAGACCCCGCCTCCACTTTAATGTGATTGGACAATGAAAAACAAGCAGTTTCCTTTTATCTCAGAGTTGACTTTTTTAACCGGCAGATACACAGAGTTCATTGGTAAAAAAATGCGAGACACAGATGGTTAAAATGTGAGACGCAGTTTTAGAAAACCAATTTAAAAAGACACCTCATCGCAGAAAGTTGATGTACCATGATAATAAATGTTGAATACTTCAACATGATTTCTGTAGGAGTCCCAGAGAATGATGAAAACTACAACTCCCATGATTCCACACTCAAAATACACCTTCGTTTGTGGTGAACACACGCCATCTAGTGGAGAAAAGTGCATGCTGTGCCTTTAAACCAAGCCACTATTCTAAGCAGCAAGATACCATCAGCCTGTTTATCAGCTGGTATAATAATCACTGTTAACATCATGACATTCATGATCACTTGTTCTTTTATATAGTTCAATAAGTTCCGCTGATGTTGTTTATTTTTGTATAGGTATATCTGTTATCCTGAACTTTAAGGATTATTTCACCTACTGTAAATTTTCACAGTTTGTTTTCTCAAATGTTATTTGACACAAAAGTTTAACATTTTACATCAGTCAGTTTTATTTTCCATGTATTTAAAAATTCATCTATTATTATTTTAATCTGTCTGTCTGTCTGTCTGTCTGTCTGTCTGTCTGTCTATCTATCTATCTATCTATCTATCTATCTGTCTGTCTGTCTGTCTGTCTGTCTGTCTGTCTGTCTGTCTGTCTGTCTGTCTGTCTGTCTGTCTGTCTGTCTGTCTGTCTGTCTGTCTGTCTGTCTGTCTGTCTGTCTGTCTGTCTGTCTGTCTGTCTGTCTGTCTGTCTGTCTGTCTGTCTGTCTGTCTGTCTGTCTGTCTGTCTATCTATCTATCTATCTATCTATCTATCTATCTATCTATCTATCTATCTATCTATCTATCTATCTATCAATCTATGTCTGTTTGTCTATCTGTCTGTCTGTCCGTCCGTCTATGCAATATCTTGTCATCTTGCACCTGTTGTATTTTGCATCTATTTTGCTCCCAGATACCGCATAATACAGTATTTTTCATAGAAGAGTGAAAAGCTAATGTTGTTCTCTTTTCTTTTGTTTTTTAGGACTGAAGCTGAAGACCTGAGTTTGGACCAGGACTTCCTGACACACTAATGTTTTTAGTAAAAAATAAAAATAAAATGTTTATGTAAACGTCATTAAATCATGGAAATGTATTGATTTTATGTATGTTAGCTAGTATGTCATATCGCCTATAATGTATATTTATCACATCTGAATATACAATGCACAACACGATGTTAAAACTGTGACAACATACCTCATGTATACTGTGACGACCCCATCTTTATTACACTGTACTGTTATACTGCTAATAATACATTATTGCCAATAGAAATAAAGTGACTGGAAATAAACTTGTGAGATGAGCAAAGTTGTTCTGCCTTTATTTACAGTATAAAACACCTTTTATTGAACATATTATAACATATTTAATTTGAGATGTGCATGTTAATAACATTTTAGAATCAATCACACTGTATGAAAAAATATCCTAATTCCTACATTAAAGGTGAACAAATTGCATTTACAGACTTTTATAAACACGAAACACACGACATACAGGCTACAAACTAATACAAAGCAGATGCACTAGCTAGCATTAGCATTATTTATTAGTCAGAACAGTTTTCTTATCTAAATATGCACACCACAGGCGTATTCTCCACAGACATGGGACTTGTTATTGAAATGTGAGTAGGAAATATGCTTACGTAAAAGCACACCTGACTGGTTTACCTGGACGAGAAGTTGCTGAATGAGTCTGCAATTTTATGTTCCGTTCTCAGCCAATCACACATCCTACTTTATATTCATGAACCACGCCCAGCGTTTATAAAGATTCTTCATTCGCCGACTACCTGTCGCTCACTGACCGTCAGCGAATCAGATAGACGGAGTTCTGTTTACCTAATTAATATTCATGAGCACAACGGATTAAAAACAGAAATCTTCCACAAACGTCGATCAGAAAATTCATAACTGAGCTCGTTCATCATGGATCTTGCCGCAGGTAAACATTTACAATTAACTTTATTTTCAAAATCTAGAAGTATTAGGTAAACCATAATGTTTAATTAAGTATAAAAAACACGCGGTTTTCTGTCAATCTTTATCCAGCTGTTGGAGATGAGGAGGTGAAGAAGAAGGAGGGTAAACAAGTGGAAGGAATCTTTGGAAAGAAGGACAAAGATAAAGACAAGAGCAAAGACAAGGTAATGTGTATATGCGTATATGATAGCCTATTTGTGAACAGATCCAGCAGAATTAGTTACAGGAAAACTAAATGAGGATAATATGAAGCGTTTGTGAAGCATCATATGAGTGGTCCAGGTTTATGCCTTCATAATCACACGTAACGTTACACTCAGAAAAAAAGGTACACGGTGGTACAAATAATGCTCCTTAAGGAACAGTTTTGTCCCTTTGTAAAAGTTGTATCTGTATAGTACAGGGAAGACCTCGTATGATACTGTTCTGCACCTTTTATGGTATAACTAAAATGAAAGTACTCATTTGTTTTCATATAAAAGGTTTACAAGTGTTAAACAAGTCCTTCTTTATTACAATATCTATGAAGTTAAATATGACTGGACAGGTAAAGGGATTTAATGAACAATTTCCATATTATTATATGAATCATCACTTAAAAGCATATGCTTAAAGAAACTCATAAACATTAATTATTAAGTTCTATAATACAAAACAACTACTAAAGCAAAACTACAGGTATTGTAAAGTACACATTTAAGGCATTTTAGATAAACATTTGGTGAGCATTTCCTTATTAATACAGTTTCATTATTGATATCTGCACCTTTTGGCGTGCAAGCTGGCAAAAGTCCTGCATATGCAAAGTGTAAATGCAGACATTTGAGTATTGTAAAACTAATAAACGTTGTGCACATCTCACTACAATACTTTTGCATAATTCTATTTCTATTTTAAAATAAAATAATTTAATAAATTTTTAGATGATTACAAACGCATTGTGTGAAAATTGGAGAAAAAAATGTGTCATATTGCAGATGGGAGACTGTGTTTCTGTAACATTTTGTTTAGCTAAATAGATCTTTTGATTGATGTTAAAGTATTTTTTTATGTTTTATTGTTAATTAAAAAGGTGCATACACCGTACACAAAAAGAAACATTGTTTAAAAATGTATTTGATGTTTAATATTTACTGAAAATAAATTGACGCATTTTAAATGAAGCAAAACGCCTTTAAATAGTTCTTAAAGGAACACATTTGACACTTGTTACGACCCTGGTCTAAGGACAAAGCCTCAACATAAAAGATCACCAGATCAAAAAAATCACTTTAATGACCCTTTGGTGTCAGGTCTCTTTATTTGTCTTTTTTTTTATATATCACCCAAAAACGTGAAGCCAGCTACCTCGGAGTGGACCCACAGAAAAATAACAAACAAAAAGTACACACTAACCCAAATAAAACTAACTACAACTAATAAAATAACACAAATAAAAATTAAAACTCTTCCCCTACCTCCCTAACTAGTTATAAAAACAGGAGAAAATATTTACAGAAAAGAAAAGTGTTCAACGTGTCTTGTCGCTGCAGTGGTGCCTTCATGGATCAGATTTGTACCTGAGATGAAAGTACAATATTGTATCTGCAGTTTTTAAAAACCAAAGGGACATCTTGCTTTCTCATGGTGCAAATCATGTCCAACAGCAGTGGTACACATGTGTTTCTACAATTCTGTTCCATAAAGATGTACTGCCCCAGTGACCAGGGTTTGTACCTTCTTTGATGACACATTGTACAATTTTTTCTGAGAGTGTACTGAATATCGAATCGAAAGTATTTGTATTTATAAGACAGGCCTGTAGCCAGTCAGGTGAAAGGGGTGGTTCTTTTCCAGTAAGATGACATTTTCTATTTAATTATGAGATTTAAATACTGCATTTAGTGACATTTTAAGCACTAATATTAGCTGGATTAGCTTGTTGGAAGGTCATCATAACCACATTTTTTGATGTGCCAAAAATATTTCTTTAAGATTTAGGATAAAAACATATAAAATACAAATTTATTACATCATATATCGGTTGTAAAAATAGGAATCTGTTAAACTTTTTAATTAAAAACTGTGGTCTATTGTCATTTATCAGGCAAATAACAAACTGAGCAGCGCATTCAACCATTCTCAGTTAGAATAGGGTATATGCCGAGCTAGTGCTGTTCCCATGCTGATACACTTCCGGTGACCTGTTATTGTGAACTTTTTTCCATTTTATACGGTTCCTTATACAGCATGGATGTTGTAATGTCATTAAAATACATTCAGTTAAATAAACTTTAGCATTTATTTGGTTGCTCAAGCGTAAAGCGAGACAAAAAGCCGTTTACTCGCACGCGCCCGTCAGAATCGGCAGGCTAACATAGAAGCTCCATTGAATATCCTGGGGTAAAATAAATGCTCATATTATAAAGACATGGCGGGGGGAATGTAATTTAATGCAGTGCTTCTTGTACAATCTGAGACCCACTTTACATATCACTCACTCGGATATCACTCAGCTAGTGGAGATCGCTGATTTTTAAAGAAAACAGACCTTAAACGGATTTTGCATTGGCATTTGATTCGCCGGAAGCGCTTAACCCAGGTTACTGGCAAATTAAAAGTCCTATTAGCATGCTTCGGCATATACCCCATTTGGCCCTTTGAATAATAAAAAACATAATAATAATAATAATAATAATAATAATAATCATGGATAACAACAATAGCCTAATTGGTATTCAAATTAATTTTAATATAAAGTTTTTTTTTTTTCTTAAAAAGTGGATCCTTTTGCAGTTATTCGCCTCATTTTCTATTTAATAATGAGAGTAACATCATATATCATTATAAAAAACAGTAATCTGTTCAAGTTTTAAATTAAAAACTGTGGTCTGTTGTCATTTGTCAGGCAAATAATAAACTGAGCAGCACGTTCAACTGTCCTGAGTCACAATTTGGCCCTTTGAATAATAAAAAACCATAATAATAATATTCATAGATAACAACAATAGCCTGATTAGTATTCAAATTAAATTTAATATGGGCCACTTTTGGTGCTTCACTTCACAGCTTTTTATTTGACATTTTTTTAGTTTCAAGAAATAGGTCCAAGATGTAGAATAGACATTGTTAAATGTCTCTGTTTAACAACAATACAGCAGGTCAGTAGTGAAGGATGACTTCACATGTGTCAGATTGTATGTTTTCTTACAGTTATTCACCTCATTTTCTATTTAATTATGAGATTAACATCATATATCGTTAGAAAAAATAGGAATCTGTTCAAGTTCTTAATCAAAAACTGTGGTGTATGGTCATTTATTAGGCAAAGAACAAACTAAGCAGCACATTCAACCTTACTCAGTCACAATTTGGCCCTTTGAATAATAAATAAAACAATAATAATAATAATAATAATAATAATCATAGATAACAACAATAGCCTAATTAGTATTCAAACTAATTGTAATATGGGCCACTTTTGGTGCTTTACACCTTTTTATATGTAATTTTTTGTTTCAATAAAGAGGTTTAAGATGTAGATTTAAAGTTACTTGTGAAATGTTTTCTCTATTTACCAACAGTACAGCAGGTCAGTAGTGAACATTGACTTCACATATGTCAGATTGTATGTTTTCTTACAGTTATTCGCCTCATTTTCTATTTAATTATGATATTTACATCATATATCATTATAAAATAATAAGAATCTGTTCAAGTTTTAAATTAAAAACTGTGGTCTGTTGTCATTTGTCAGGCAAATAACAAGCTGAGCAGCACGTTCAACTGTCCTCGGTCACAATTTGGCCCTTTGAATAATAAAAAACATAATAATAATATTCATAGATAGCCTAATTAGTATTCAAATGAATTATAATATGGGCCTTTTTTGGTGCTACACACCTTTTTAATTTTAATAATCATCATCCAAGACACATTTAAGTGGATCGTTCATCAGTAGCTCATTCATATGCACAAATAAGCATCACCATACATTACATAGCTTTAAATCATTTGATATATTCAATAGCATTAGTATAAGGATAGTATTAAGTATTTTTAAGATTTTAAAAGTCCTTTAAGCACAAAATATGTGATGTTTTTAATGAATGCTGTTTTATATTTGGTTTCAGAGTGACTCTAAGCATAAGGATAAAGATAAGCACAAAGATAAAGAACATAAAGACAAAGACAAGAAGAAGAAGAAGGAACACAAGAAGAAAGACGGTGGAAAGTCCTCCTCCTCCAGTGATTCGGTAATATTTCTGCTATTTAATGCACACACTGTAATAATGCATGGGTGGAATCTGAATGTATCAGTGTAAGGAGCAAAGTTTGCACTGGGAGAGAGCTGTTGTGCATTTATTACATTAGCTGCATATGTGATGTTGGCAGACAGACTCGCACAAGAGATGTAGATATGGAGATAGAGCCTGAGGGCACAGGGTTGGGCTCCATGAATGAAAGATAGCAGCGTATCGTAAAACAGGTTGATCGACAGGTGTGGTCTTTCTGTTTTGGTGCACTCTAAAAAAGGCTGGGCTCACATAACTCAACATTGGGTCAAATATGGACAAACCCAACCCCTGAGCTCAAAAACGTGTAAGGACAAACCCAATGGTAGAGTTATGAAGTATCATTTAAATTAAATTTTAAAATGTTAACACAATCGTTGCGTCAAATATGGCCTAACACAACTGTTGGGTTAAAATTTTCGTTTATATAAACCCAATGGCTGTGTCAAAAATGTAATTTAAATTGAATGACCACCAACGTTGGGTCAAGTATACTGTAGACAAACTATTGGATTAAAAATATATATGGACAAGCCCAATGGTGATTATAAAGTATAATTTAAACTTAATTTTAAAAATTTTACACATTTGTTGGGTCAAATATGGACAAGCACAACTGTTGGGTTAAAAAGTGTCAATTATATAAACAAACCCAATGGTTGGATTAAATAGTATAAATCAAATTGAATTGAAAAAAATTACCACCAATGTTGGGTCAAATATGGACAAACCCAACTGTTGGGTTAAAAATTGCTATTAGTAAAAAAATCACCAACAATGTTGGGTTGAATATGGACAAACCCAGCCCTTGGGCTCACAAACATGTAAGGACAAACCCCATTGGTGATTAAAAAGTATAATGTAAATTTAATTTAAAAAGTTAACACAAATGTTGGGTCAAATATGGACAAGCACAACTGTTGGGTTAAAAACGGATTAAGATAAACCCAATGGTTGAATAAAAAAGTATAAATAAAATTGATTTGGAAAAAATGACCACCAATGTTGGGTCAAATATGGACAAACCCAATTGTTGGGTTAAAAATTGTAATTTGTAAAAATTACCAACAATGTTGGGTTGAATATGGACAAACCCAACCCTTGGGCTCAAAAACATGTAAGGACAAACCCAATGGTGATTATAAAGTATAATGTAAACTTAATTTTAAAAAATTAACACAATTGTTGGGTCAAATATGGACAAGCACAACTGTTGGGTTAAAAAGTGTCATTTGTTAAATATTACCACCAGCGTTGCGTTGAATATGGACAAACTCAACCATTGGGTTAAAAACATATTTGGACAAACCCAATAGTTAGATTAAAAAGTATAATGTAAATTTAATTTAAAGATTGTTGGGTAAAATGTAGACAAACACAACTGCTGGGTTAAAAGGTGTCATTTATACAAACAAACTCAATGGTTGGATTTAAAAAAGTGTAATTCAGATTGAACTGGGAAAAAATACCCCCAATGTTGGGTCAAATATGGACAGACCCAACTGTTGGGTTAAAAAGTGGCATTTATATGAACAAGCCCAATGGTTGGATTAAAAAATTAAATTTAAATTGAATTGGGGGAAAAAAGTCACCAATGTTGGATCAAATATGGACAAACCCAACTGTATAAAAGGTGTCATTTATATAAACAAACATCATTTTTGTTTTAAAAATGCCATTCAGATTGAATCTGAAAAAAAAAAAAAAAATTACCACCAATGTTGGGTCAAATATGGACAGACCTAAGTGTTGGGGTAAAAAGTGCCATTTAAAAGAAAATAACACCAACATTGGGTTAAAGATGGACACACTCAACCATTAAGTTAAAAACGTTCAGCGTATGGACAAACCCAATGGTAGGATTAAAAAAGTATTATGTAAATTTATAGAAAAAAAGTTAACCCAATCACTGGGTCAAATATGGACAAACACAACTGTTGGGTTCAAAAGTGTCATTTATACAAACAAACCCAATGGTTGGATTCAGAAGTCGAATTCATAATAAATTAGAAAAAAAATTACCACCAACTGTTGGCTTAAAAAGTGTCATATAAATTAAATTGTAAAAATGACCACCAATGCTGGCTCAAATTTGGGCAAACCCAACCATTGGCTTAAAGTGTCATTTTGAATTGAATTGTAGAAATTAACCCAATGTTGGGTCAAATAAAGACAAACACCACTGTTGGGTTAAAAAGTGTCATTTAAATTAAATGTTTAGCTGCCATTGGGTAAAATGTGGAGAAATCCACTTGTTGGTTTAAAGAGAGTCTTGAAATGTAATTGAAAAAAGTATCACCAATGTTAGATCAAATATGAACAAACCCAACCGTTGGGTTAAAATGTGTGATTTCAATTTAATTGTAAAAGTGAACCCAGCATTGTGTCAAATATGTACAGACCTACCTGTTGGTTTAAAAAGAGTCATTTACATTTAATTTAAAAATAATTGCCATCAATGTTGGGTCAAATATGGACAAACGTATGTGTTGGGTTAACAAAAAGTGTCATTTAAAAATTAATTGTATACTAACTCACCATTGGGTCAAATATGGACAAACCAAACTGTTGGGTTAAAAGTGTCATTTAAATTTAATTGTAAAAATAAATCCAACATTATTTGGATCACTCAAATTTACTACAACCCAGCCTTGTTTTTAAAGTGCAGTAGCGTGTTTCAGTTGTGCAGACAGTTGCTATTAATCAGGTTCTTCTGGAAAGTTTTACTATTATTTGTTCTCATCCCAAACAACATTCCAGCAGCAAGACAACAATTACCACACACAAGACACGCACACACATTTGAGACACACCCAGATGACACAGTCCAAAATATCTGCACTTGATTCACACGCGCGCACGCACACACACACACACACACACACACACACACACACACACACACACACAGAAAGAGAGATGAGATCTTTGTGTTATTTTATTGAGCAAAACAACACACTGCTTTGCCAGTATAGATCATATCAGTGTGGGAAAATAGTCCAGGTTACAACAGAAATCATGTCTTCTGTTCAAAATATTTCTCACTACAAGTTTTTTTATGTAATTGAGGCATTTATATTTTAGAAATGTAAATATATAATATTTTCATACGATTTTTAATATATATAAGAACTTTAATGTGTAGTCCAGCATACACATACATACATGTTTAATGTGGACAAATGTCCTGGACACAATATAATTAGCTGATAGTAAGTCTTGAATGGAGCAGTGGATGGACTTGAGGATGTGCAGTGTTTATTATTCAGGACGTCTGCTGGTGTTCAGGATCATTTGTAGTCGAATCATGGAGAATATTACAGTGTGCCAGTGATAAGCGCGCATGTGTGTGTGTGTGTGTGTGTGAGTGTGTGAGTGAGTCTGCAGAGGAGTGAAGGTGTGCATTGTAATACTAATACAGCTGATAAGAGCCTCACACAGGCCTTACAGAAAATACAGACAGTCATATATAGTGGACACTTTTTTCTCTCTCTGGAATTTGTGTCTTTAAAATATCAGCTGTAAACATCAGGAAACATACAGAATTAGAGTTATTGTACTTTTATTTTATTTTATCCTTAAAGCAACAGTCAACCTCCGAAAAACATCCACAAATTACATGTATTATTCCGTAAAATGTTGCAATTTTTAATTTATCTTATTTTATTTTGCATTTTATTTTAATTTTTTTATTTTATTTTATTTTTAATTTCATTTTATTTTATTTTATTTTATCTTTAAAGCAACAGTTAACCTCCAAAAAACATCCACAAATTACATGTATTATTTCCTAATATGATAAATTTTTATTAGTTTTTTTATTTTATTTTATCCTTAAAGTAACAGTTAACCTCTGAAAAACATTCACAAATTACATTTAGTATTCCATAAAATGTTGCAATTTTTATTTTACCTTATTTTATTGTTTATTTAATTTTTTATTTATTTATAAAAAACATTTGTTTGTTTTTTTATTGTTTTTTCTTTTCTTTTATTTTATTTTATCCTTAAAGCAACAGTTAACCTCTGAAAAACATCCACAAATTACATGTATTATTCCCTAAAAAATGTTGCAATTTAGATTTTATCTTATTTTATTTTTAATTTTATTTTTTATATATTTTTATTTTTTATTTTATTTTGCTTTTTATTTCATTTTATTTTATCCTTAAAGCAACAGTTAACCTTTGAAAAGCATTCAGAAATTACATGTATTATTCCCTAAAATATTGCAATTTTTATTTTATCTTATTTTATTTTAATTAATAAATAATTCTTTATTTTATTTTGTTTTTTATTGTGTTTTATTTTATCCTTAAAGTAACAGTTAACCTCTACAAAACATTCACAAATTACATTTAGTATTCCATAAAATGTTGCAATTTTGATTTGATCTTATTTTATTGTTTATTTTATTTTTTATTTATTTTGTTTTTATTATATTGTATTTTATTTTATCCTTAAAGCAACAGTTAATCTCTGAAAAACATTCACAAATTACAAGTATTATTCCCTAAAATGTAGCAATTTTTATTCATTCACTCATTTTCTTGTCGGCTTAGTCCCTTTATTAATCCGAGGTTGCCACAGCGGAATGAACCGCCAACTTATCCAGCACGTTTTTATGCAGCAGATGCCCATCCAGCCGCAACCCATCTCTGGAAAATAATTTTTATTTTATTTTTTATTTTATTTTATTTTTTAAATTTTATTTTATTTCATCATTAAAGCAACAGTCAACCTCTGAACCACGTCCACAAATTACATTTATTATTCCTAAAAATGTTGCAAATTACTCCTGTAAATGCAAATTCTGACATCACCTAATTAAAAAAATAAAACAAAAAACACAAATTAGAATTTCTTTTTTGCAATAAAATAATTGCATATGGTAAAATTATTTAACTAAAATAAAAAAATGTAATGTAATTTATTTCCAGAACCTTAAAGCAACAGTTAACTCCTGCAAATATAAATTCTGACATATTCAATTCTAAAATGAGAAAACATCCACAAATTACAGTTCAATTGCTCTCAAAATTTAGCAAAATATTTTATTGTCATCATTTACTCTCCCTCATGTCATTGCAAGTTGATATGATATTTAATTGTTTATTTATTTTTTGTTTTATCTTGTCATTTGACTGATCACAACACTGTAAATTTGTAAAATCTCACTTCATTTCAAGCTCCTATATTCTACATTACATCACATTATTTCAACGAAGAAACCAATAAACATGAGGCTGCATAAAATATATATGTGCTTGGATAAATATCTGAACATATTTGTCAAAATAATATCTAAAACAAAACATTTTCCAGTGTATTGCATCAGAGTTTATTTTTTTGTTAAGATTTTTTTTTTAATAATCCAAAAACTAACCTTTGCTTTACTCTCTGTCTTTTTCATAGGACTAAAGCAAGAGTGAAGATTCATCTGACACCTCCAGGAACACAATGAAAAGTTCTTTATTATATGTTTTTATAAACAGATGAATGCAATATTATTTGATGCAGGAGGGAACAATAAATCACATGATGGTTTTGAGCTGTAAAACATCCAGATGTCCACAAGGTGGCGCCACTTACATGCAAACGCTTAATTGTAATCAAACACTGGAATACCAGAGACTGAGCTTTGTACTGTGAACATGCAGTTTTAATAATAAAATCTTGTGTCTGAATTAGTTCTATCAATTTCCTCTTTGTTAACTACTATAAAGGCTTTGTGTAAGATGATTTAAAGACAGATTAATGCATACATATAGCCTATTTTTAATCGGTTTTATGTAGATAAATTATTGACTTTTTAAAATTGCATATTCGGTACAAATTATTTCTTATCATTCTTATTATTACTTATATTGTTATGCATCTATTAACAGAAAGAGGTAGCAATAGATTACATGTAATCTGAATTAGATAATCAGATTCCTAAAATAAAGTAATTATTATAGTAAACTGTTTTTTAACATAGCTGTCATCACTTCAGAATGGATTTCATATTTGTTTTACACTTTGGCAATAAGTAGCATTAATTCATCCTCCTAATTTAATAGTTCATATTCCTTCATGATATCATTTTCATGATAAATTGAAAAAAAGATGCATGAAGGCAATCTAAAATGCAAAAGAAGAAGATTATTATTAGTAGACTACAGTTGATATGTAAAACAAATAAGTTATGTCAGTTGTAATTGTTAGTTACTTTATTATTTTATTTTTATTATTCAATATTTACATTTTTAGGAGGAACAAAAATAAGCATGATAAATAATAGACAATATGATGCACAAAAGTAATCTAAATGTAATCTAAAAGTAGTCAGATTACATTACTCCCAATATATACTATAAAGTGATCAATGACTTTGAATTCCGTGATGTAATTTGTAACTAGTTATTGATTACTTATCATAAGTAATCTACCCAGCTCTGCCGCCATATTTATTTTGTTTTTATTATTGCATTTATTTACTTTTGTGTATTACACACTAGATGCAAGATCACATTTAATTAAATAATAATTTTTTACATTTTAATATTTAAGATTTTTTTGAATATGCATGATAAATTATTCACAAAAGAAGGATAAAAGTAATCTGAATATTCCAAAAGTAGTTAGATTACTATACCATAAATATGTAGCCTAAATGATTATAGTAATGACTTATTTATTAAATAAATCAATAATTATATATTATATATATATATATATATATATATATATATTATTATTTTTTTTTTTAATTGATTGTTTTAATATGTGTTATAAATAATTCACAAACGGATCAAAGTAATCTAAATGTAAACCAAAAGTCAGATTACATTGTTATAGATATCTAAAGTGATTATATCAATGACTACGAATGTAATATGTTATTAGTAGCTGATTACATTCCATAAGTAATCTACCAAGCTCTGCTGACACATTTATTTGTTGATTATTCTGATTGTATTTATTAATTTAACACACTAGATGCAAGTTTACACTTAATGAATTAATTCATTTTTGAATTTTAATATTAGCATTTAGATTTTTTTATATGCATGATAAATAACCGACAATAAGATCCACAATAGTAATCTAAATATAATCTAAAAGTAGTCAGATTACATTACCATCAATGCATACTATAAGAAATCCACCCAGCTCTATTAACAGAATAGTAGCTTACTATAATAAGAGCAACTTTGTTTATTTATTTATTTATTTATTTATCTTTCAAACACTTTTAATGACTCAAATTTGGGTTGTGATATTTTTAAAACTTCATCAAGATGTTTTCCATACAGTCTCCAAATACTTTTAGAGCAAATGTAATTTGTAATTAGTAATTGATTATGTTTCATAAGTAATCTACCTGCTCTGCTGCCATATTTATTTGTCGATTTGATTATTTAATGATTGTTTTTATTTATTTATTTACTAGATATGGGTTTAGATTTATTTAATTAACTAATTTATTTATTATTTAATATTTACATACAATTTTTTTGGAGGAACAAAAATAAGCATGATATATAATAGACAATTAGATGCACAAAAGTAATCTAAATGTAATCTAAAACTAGTCAGATTACATTACTCAAATATATACTATAAAGTGATCAATGACTTTGAATTCCGTGATGTAATTTGTAACTAGTTATTGATTACTTGTCATAAGTAATCTACCCAGCTCTGCCGCCATATTTATTTGTTGATTTTGATTATTTTATGATTGTATTTATTTACTAGATATGGGTTTAGATTTTATTAGTTAACTAATTTATTTATTTATTATTCAATATTTGAAGTTTTTGGAGGAACAAAAATAAGCATGATAAATAATAGACAATACGATGCACAAAAGTAATCTAAATGTAATCTACTCAGATTACATTACAATAGATACATACCGTAAGCAATCCAATAGTAACTTTAACATTAACCCAGGTAGCAGAATAGCAACTTACCTAATTAGAGCAACTTTAACCTGAAGTCATTGAGATCAAATCCTCTCACATGCACCATTAATAAAAATATGAAAAGTGAGTTATCAGACGCTCAGCAGTACAATATCTCTCCGTCCACACGCTGCGGTTGTACGTTCATTTCTGACGGTTTGGGCGCAGATCTGTCTTGTTGGCATGATTTGTTTGGTTATTCATCAATGTTTGAGGACGCCACAGATAATTCATCAGAACAGCGGACACCAAACAAACGCCGGCTGCTTCCCAACAGTGTTTTGGACGTTCAGAAAACAACTGTACGCCAGAGATAAGAGAACTGCTGCCCAGAGGCGGAGGGCAGAGAGATTTCTGTGTGTCCGTCAAACTGAGACTCTGTTTTCCTCTTATTCTGTGCCAAACGCCTGCAGGAGAAATGCAAAGCAGCATGTTGTGCGTATTTTTTTTTTTTTCTCCAGCCACACCCTGTCAATCTCTCACATGCATATTTCATCAAACACACCGATATGCAATGCTGGAAGTTTAATCCCAGGGAAAAAAAAAAAAAGTTGGCTTGTTTTGTGATGTTGGTCGGGGTCAGAGATCTGAACGTCAGCAGAAAATTCAGCAGTTTGTGCCGCTCTGCACATTTCACACTGATAGAGCGCATGGAGATGCTGAGAAGTTTGTCTTTCTTTTTTTTCAAGAGTTCACACTTAGCTGATAATCAAAAAAGCGTATTTGGCATGCTGTCCCGGGAGAGAGCCCTGAGCTCGTAATATCCTCGAGCCCGGGGCTCCCTCCCGTTAGAAGGGCGAGAGGGGAATTCGAGGTCAGGTAGGTTTCGAGAACTCCCCTGATTGTCACCGTGAGAAGTGTAAACTCAGGTTGTATTGGGTGATAATTTGTTTTAGTCGATTGGCTATGTTTTATGTTTTTGGACGGTGGGAAAACCCACGCGAACACGGGGAGAACATGCAAACTCCACACAGAAACACCAACTGGCCCAATGGGTTGGACCTGCGGTGTTCTTGCTGTGAGGCAACAGTGCTAGCCACTGGGCCACCGTGTCGCCCGATCAGAAAAAGTGGGAGGATGTAGGGGTGGAAAGGGGGGGAGCTTCAAGACGAAGATAACTGGAGTGAAAAACTCCGGTTATTCATAATGCTTCCGTAATCATCTAATAGGGCTGATTAGTGATTACGGAGCTAACAAGGAGCCAGCCGTGTTGATTATAAGCACGTGATCCTCTCGAACAGGGCCGGAGTGGGACTCTTTTTCAGCCCTGGAGTTTCAAGCCTCAGACCAGCCCACCTCAGTTCACCACTGACTATATTAAAATAAGGTCATTTCCAATTCAGTTTCTAATTACACTATCACGTCTTTTTTTGAGAAAACAGCTCTTTTAGAACTTCAAATGTTCAACAACCCTTACAGTATTATGTCTTAACAATAAAAATGAAAAAAAAAAATAAAATAATTGTTACTCAGACAAGGATCAAACCCTGGTTGGCTGCGCCATAATCTAATGTACTAACCACTGTACCACAACAGCTATACGTTGAATGGTGACTTATCTAGTTATATCATCATTAACCTGCATCCTGCTCACGAGGCTACGAGAAAATAGATAAAAAGAGCAGAGCTGCGGTAAAATAATGAATAAGAAGGCTGTGGTCAAGTAAATAAATGAATTATTTTTAAAAAGTGTGACAGCTGAGAGCAACCAATTCTGGAACTAGGGACACCAGCCCTCGCGGCCAAAAAACGGACCGGCCCACCGGGAATTTTCCCGGTCCTCCCGATTAGCCAATCCGGGCCTGCTCTCGAAATAAGTTTATGAATAAACCACACTTAATAGTTTTTTATGTGAAGTAGCAATAAACAACGTACAATGATTCCACTTAAAAGAGTACATTTCCCACTGCTAAACATTTTTCTTTTTTACAAACTCTAATGTAACAGAACACAACAAAAAAAATAATAAAACAAAAAAAGTTAAATAAAAGTTTCATCAAATGCAATATATGAAAATAACAATAAAATGGGAACATAAATAATATCAATACTAAATTTACATTTTTTTATTCACTCACCTTTAGGTTATTATCAACTGTGAATTACTCATTTAAAGAGAGGATTAAGACGGGGAGTGCAATGGGTCGTAAATTGAAAAATGTTTGTTATGTGGATGGGAATTAGATAGTAATAGTTTTATATTTCTATGAAGATTGGACGGAGCAATCTAACCTAATCAGTCCACTTGGACCAGATTTTTCTAAATGCATTAATTTGGAGTCAAAGGGAGAATGTAATTTTTTCCATCACTTAAATATTATATACTATCTCTAGCCATTCTTGGGTTGTTGGGGATTCAGGAAGTAACCAGTGTCTTGCAATTGCTTTTTTTGGCTGCGATTATTAAAATATCAAGTATTTATCAGATTTACATATTTGGATATCAGAGCTTCCAAAATAAATAACTATAAATTGAAAGGGTAGTGTAATATTAAGTCTGTTTTCTATTACTTCATGTACTTCTACCCAAAATAGTTTTATTACTGGACATTCCCAAAAAGAGAAGTTTGTCTTTCAGAGATGTGTATATGCTGTAAATAATTATATGAACAATTAGTCATAACAGTGTTTTTAGTTAATTCATTTTCTTTTCAGCTTAGTCCCTTTATTAATTTGGGGTCGCCACAGTGGAATGAACCGCCAACTATTGCTGCATATGTTTTACACAGTGGATGCCTTTCCAGCTGTAACCCAGTACTGGTGTAATCCCGCCAGTCCTACGCCACCACCCAACCCGCTCTGAGCTGGTATCGAACCGGGGACCTTCCGCATAGGAGCCGGTTGCTCTACCAAGGAGGCTAAAGACCATGGCTTGTTGCGTCTGTTGCTAGAGCACCTTTAGAGGTCAGAGGAGTGAGGTTTAACTGCACGGCACACACTAGCTGGCTGGCCTCTGTTACACACACGCCCCTAAAACTCACTCCCATCCGGGTCACTGCACGATTGTAACCCCACTGGTCCTACGCCACCCAATCCGTTCTGAGCTGGTATCGAACCGGCAACCTTCCGCATAGGAGTCAGTTACTCTACCAAGAAGGCTAAAGACCATGGCCTCTAGCGTTTGAGCAGCTTTAGAGGTCAGAGGAATGAGGTTTACCTGCACAGCACTTACTGGCTGGCTTCCGTTACACTGGGAAACACCCATACACACTCATTCAATTTAGTTCAATTCACCTATATGTCTTTGGACATGGGGAGAACATGCAAACTCTCCATAGAAACGCCAACTGACCAAGACAGGACTTGAATCAGCGACCTTCTTGCTGTGAGGCGAATGTGCTACCCACTGCACCACCATGCCGCCCATGTTTTTAGTTCATTGTAGCATATTAAACTAAGTTCATCAAGTTCTATATAAGTTCAATAGACTCATGAGATTAATTTGATTCAGCTTAAAAATTTAAGGCAACCAGGAATTTTTTATAGTGTGTGTGTCTGAAAAGAGTGTGTGTGGGGCAGATTTAACTAATAAGCAAGGTAAAATCCCCAATGAATAAGTATAAATTATACCTAAATGATATATAACAGGTGACGCAGTGGCGCAGTGGGTAGCACGTTTGCCTCACAGCAAGAAGGTCGCTGGGTCACTGGTTCAATCCTCGGCTCAGTTGGCGTTTCTGTGTGGAGTTTGCATGTTCTCCCTGCGTTCGCGTGGGTTTCCTCCGGGTGCTCCGGTTTCCCCCACAGTCCAAAGACATGCGGTACAGGTGAATTGGGTTGGCTAAATTGTCTGTAGTGTGTGTGAATGTGTGTGTGTGGATGTTTCCCAGAGATGGTTTGCGGCTGGAAGGGCATCCGCTGCATAAAAACTTGCTGGATAAATTGGCGGTTCATTCCGCTGTGGCGACCCCGGATTAATATAGGGACTAAGCCGACAAGAAAATGAATGAATTATATATAACAATCATATTTGTATGCTTTAAAAATTACAATCTTAACATAATCATTGCATATGTGCAAATTCCCAGTCTGTGCCCAATCATGGAGCAAGTCAAATCAGTTAGGATTTATATCAGAATAATCCCAACAGTATCTGCATGCAGCCTTTATGATGCAAGCTGAGACTGCATCACTCAGCGATGCAATGTCAGACACAATGCACTCAAATGGAGCTTGTGACGTCACTGTTAGGGGTGGGGTTAGATGAGCCCATTAAAAAGCATTGGATGCAGCCCAGATTGCACTGCACCAGGTCTGCAGCCAGACCCCTCTCAATAATTCATCCATTCTCCTTCAGCATAGTCTCTTTATTCATCAGTAGTCGCCACACTTATCCAGCATATATGTTTTATGCAGTGGATGCCCTTTTAGCTGCAACCCAGTTCTGGGAAACACCCATACACACCCGTTCAAACACTATGATCAATGTAGTTCATCAATTCCCCTATAGCGCATGTGTTTGGACGGTGGGGGAAACTGGAGCACCAGGAGGAAACCCACACAAACGCAAGGGGAACATGCAAACTCCACACAGAAATGCCGACTGAACCAGCCGGGGCTCGAACCAGTGACCTTCTTGCTGTGAGGCGACAGCACTACCTACTGCGTTACATTCAACAGGATATACTAGTGTTTTGACAATTTTTTGTTGTTATGGTGTATTTTTATTATTATTGCAAGAACGACACATACAAAACAATGCCAGAGGTGTACAAAAACGAAAATAAGAAAAGCATAATACAACTATATAGAAGTACAAAAACTCGGTCAAATAAAATAATAATGAAAAGAAACTATTACATTTAATGCTAGGCCTTGCTAACTCATAATAACTTTAAAGCGTCAAACAAACACACGGTTTTAATAGCTTCTTTGTTCGTGCTCTCCTTAATGGTGTTATGGTGTATTTACCAAAGGCGATCAGTCATATCTGCGCGCACCTGAAGCGCGGTCACACCGGTGCGCGCCACCGCCGCCGTGCGTGCGTGCGCGCTGCCTCCTTTTCGCACCAGAGGAGGGCACAGTTACCTCGCGCTGCGAATGGCGTCAGCGGTCTCCAGGCAACAGGCCAGTAGTCAGTCAGTCACTCACTCAGTCAGATTTCTCAATCAGAGCGGAGAGAGGAGGTAGCGGCTGCGGGCATGGCGCTCACACGGACCCGGTGCTCATCTTTCTGCTTCACCGTGTGAACACACACACACCTCTGTGCTGTACAGGAGAAACAGCCCCGGAGCCGCAGGTACCGACAGATCCGGACGCGTTCACGCGGATCCCGACGCGAAAGAAACGCGACGCGAGCCTCTGAGGGAATTTCACACGCGCCGTTTTATCCGTTGGAGTTTGGAGCTTTCTCTGTGATCGTTAAGGTGTTTTAGATTTCATTCATGAATTTGGCGTCAACAGACAATTACTTTCCCACCCTCAAACTGTGGAGGACATCTGACTGACTTTGAACTTCAAAAACACGACGACTTTCGCTGGGAAACATGCTGAAATTTCATAATTCGGACCTATGGATTGCTTGGCTGGTCTTCTTTTGTGTGAACGGTAAGTTTTGTGGTTGATATTACTACGTTTTTATCATCATTGCTTTTGTTTGTTTTGACCAAAACTGCAAAGCAGCAGTTTATTTGTTTATATGTTTGCTTGTTTATTTGGTGTCGCGAATTGACGTTTGCTAGTTGTTGATTCCTCGGTGTGCGTGCGTGACGTCACGAATCCTATATTTACAAGCAATGTAAACAAGGTCTTAGGAGTAGCTCAAGGTGTAGAGATGCTGGAGAAAGTTATTGAGGTAAAGTTGGTTTTAAATTCGCACATTTGTTCATCTAACTGTCTCTATATTGCTCAATTCAATCAGAATTAGCATGTATGACTTCAAAACAACATCGACACCATCTAATTGACTGTAAACATGGTTGTACTTTGATAGTCATTGGCTAATATATGATTTCCCAATTTAGAATTTGCAAAGAATACTTTTCTGAAGGTATATTATTAGGCAGAATGTCTGACATCCGAATATAAAACCAAGTCTATGAGAAAGTTTGACAACAGTCATGTGAAGATGCTGTATTGTTTATAGAGGTAAAGTTGGTTTTATATTCGCACATTCGTTCATTTAAAAGTCCCTATATTGTTTACCATGTTACTTTAAATATTCGACCGGAATTAGCATGCAAGTGTGGCTTGAAAACAAAATTTACACTGTTTATTTGACTGTGAACAATGTTGTACTTTGATAGTCACTGGCTGCTTATATGAGTTTGCTATTTAGAGTTTGCAAATAATAATTTTATGAAATTATATTATTAAGGGGAAAGTCTGAATGTGCGAATATAAAACCAACTTTACCTCTATGGGTTGTTTGGGTACATTTAAAGTATACAGCAGTATTAAATGCAGATTATTTATGTTCAGCTGATACTGTAGTATGCTGGAGCGTTCATTACCAAAGTAGTGTAAATACTATGATATCACCTATACACTGTAGTACAATTGGTTGAATAAAACACTGCAGTAAATTACTATAGCATTTTTATCACGTGGGAAAGCATAAAATAGAAAAATAAAACTTACTTGAGTCTTACATTTGCTTACTTTTAGTTTTGCTAATGTTTGTTTTAGATATATAAGAATATTATCTCTCTGAATTCACTCTTTAAAGGAAAGTTTGCATGTGTTACTCATAAGATTTCATTATAAATGCAGTTAAAACCTGGCTGTATTTTTAGTGTTACACACACACACACACACACACTGCAGGGGTTTGATTGCTTGCATATTTTAGGCACGCAAAAATGCAGCTGTTGTGTGTGTGATCTGAGCAACACAAAGCTTGATGCTGCGTGAGTGGTTCATTGGATGGGAAGCGGATCCAAGGGGCCGAGGACTCACGGATGGGCCAGACGGCGCAGGTCTGAGAGCCGTAATCCAACCAGATTATGAAGAGCACTGCTCCACGTGACGCTCTCTGACTGTCAGATGCACTTACACACACACACTCACAAACACACACTCTCATCGTACCATTCCCTGTGGTATTTGGGTGATATCTGTGCGCATATGTTGACCCACAAAAGGGACCGACATATGTGCGCACAGGTATCACCCAAACAGTGTCGAACTCCAGCCGGACAGTCTGGGATTGTAGATTTGTCCTATTTTCTGCCTTTATTTCTTTTTGGGAAACAGTTTGAAGTCTTTATTGTTGATAACTGATGTAGATAATTCAGGTAAACTTGGTTTCATATTGGCACATTCGTTCAGGGACAACTTTTGACATGCTTTCTATATTGTTTACCATGGTACGTTGAATATTGGGTCCAAAATCTCATGTACGTGTGAACAATGTTGAAACTGATGTTCATCGACTCGCCTTTGGGGGCTGGCTCCAGGAAATCCAGATGTTCACTGACATCTACAAATCTAAATCGCCCAATTTTACAGCTGATAAAAACATGTTTACAGCCTGGTACAAAAGATGGTTTTGGTGCATATAGCTAATATTACCCTTCCTGACAGCTGTGAGGGGGTGAATTGTTTTTAACTAATTCGTTTCATTTTTATTAAGTTATATTAAGTCTGCATAATTCAGGGCGGGGCCACTTGAGTGACAGCTAGGAAGGGTGTCACGATCCTCCAAATCCTTGATTCGATTACATTATTGATTCTAAAGTCACGATTCGATTTTCGATTATGAATAATTAATTAATTAATGACCAATTAATAATTTGTAGCCTACCGTTTAAACTACCTGACCTGCATGGTCTTTGTTTTACCCATAAACAAATCATACAGTAAATGAATAAAGGCAAGATACACACATAATTACCACCTGTCAATCTCTTTTTCTGCGGGACTCGTGAATAGGCAGTGATCTGTGTCGTTATAATGGCGTCGGTAAAAAAGACGCACAACCAACAGAAACCAGCCAACAGTATCTGAGGTGTTCGCTAAAATGACTAAGTACAAGTGAGTGAAAGATTGAAGCAGTCCTCTGACCGCCTGGACCTGCTGTCTCGAGCGCATGGCTGTGTGTGCGTCTGTGTCTGTGTGGTCACGTGATGTGCATTTTCAGAGGTAGAGAGGAAGGAGGGCTGCTCAGAAATGCTACACGCCACTGTGGATGTCAAATCGTTGTCGTTCTAAAATGCCATTTAAAAACAAAGACAGTGTAAACAGGGCCTGAGTGTGTACTTTTTGCGAGCGGATTTGCAAAGGGGGCGGGCGGAGGATTACGATGCCGGTGTTGTCTATCGGACGAACCGTACGTAATACGTACATAGCAGAGCTTGCAAAACTGTGTTTTTTTTTTGTTGACAACACGAACGTTGTCAACATAACTCACTGGAAATCCAAAATACTTTCACACCGGCGACTTCAAAGAAAGAGGAGAGGGTTTAAGTTCTGTCGACGGGTCTCCTGGGTCTGCAGTTTAACAAGCACTTCAACAAGCCTGTTTTTTTCCCGCTTGGCAAGCCAAGCTGACATGACATGGGGGCGTGGCAGCATCGACGATTCTATTTTTTGATTCGATAATCGAAATTGAGCATAAATTTCAATCGATTTCGATTAAAAATCTAAATCGTGACAACCCTAACGGCTGGTGCCCCTTTCACACAATGATACCGGAAAATTTCCGGAACGACTTTACCGGTAATTTCAAAATAGCGCTGTTCACACAGGCGAGGACGTTACGGAATTTTTCAGAAAAAGAGCATTCACACATCCATTCCAAAATAGCTGTAAATTCTGACGTCATTAACCAGAAATGAGCTCTAAACGGCTGCGCTTGCATTTGTAAACATTTAATTACATCACAAACTCTGTGAATGGATCAGTATTGTGAACAACTTCGATGAAAACATATAGAGAAACACTTTCGCATGTCGAGATGTACATGATATGCGTGTGTGCTGGCGCTCACGGGCACACGCGACACGCCAAGCAACTGAAGGAAGCAGAGCTTGAAGGTAAACAAATAACGGCTTATCATAAGCATCTTATCGATAATTATTTACACAGTTAGCATTAAGAAGGAACATATAAACATTGTCTGACTAACATCTAGCAGCTAAATGTGTCAGGAAAAATATTCAAAGGCTTTTATTTTCATCAACCGCACGCACGTGAATGCGTTTGACTGTACTGATTGGCTAAAGTTGACGTCTCACTACAGCACGTTCTAGACGTGGACGCTCTCTTTCCGGCAATCTTCCTTCTGCGTTCACACAGCGCAGCATTCCAGCAAATTAACGGTAATGTTACAACTTCTCTTTCCGGGAAATAGCCAGAACGAATTTACCTGTGTTTTCAAAAAGGGCCTGTTCACACATACAGACCTTTTCGGAAAATTGCCGGTAATTTTCCGGAAATGTCTGTATGTGTAAAAGGGGCTTAAGTCTCATTGCTCACTGTCTTGTCATCTCAGCTGATTCCCGGTTGATTAGCCGCTGAACTTGGCAAATGCATCACATTTTCGTCAAATAGAGCTATCCAAACCATCGTCTGAAACTGTATTCATATTGCAATATTTATCGCAGAAAAATAAAACCGAAACATAAAAACAATAGCAGATTTTTCCAATATCGTGCAGCCCTAGAATGCATGAACTGATTTAATTAAACTTCTAATGTTTGGCTCAATAAGAAAGAAAGAAAGAAAGTTTGACCTAATTCTATTCTTCAAAAACAATCTTTAAAGTTTAAATGATCATTTTAAAAAGAAGCAGCTTCTCTTAAAAATCAAACCAAACTAAATTATTGTTTCAACAAAAAAGAAAAAGAAATTTATTATTTAAATTTTTTTATGTTTTTTATTGTTGCCATAATATTTTAATTTTCAGTTTGCACACATTGTAAAACAGCACCTTGCTTACATTTTTAAAAAATCAATAACCTTGTTGCATTTACAAATGATACAAAAAAATTATATGTATATATTTTTTAAAAACTAAACAAAAAAACAAACAAACAACCAAACAGAAAATAAAAGTGCTCTTCTTTTGTTAATGGTAATCTATTCAAAAGTGATTATTGTTATCATACTGAATTCAATGTGCAACAAATATATTGAATAGTGTATCAACACAGAGTTGTAAGACTGGACCTGCATTGTCCACATAAAAAGGCTGACATAAGTTGATGAACTTTCAATACTTTTATTTACTTTTATTGTCACTTCATTAGCAGCACGTGTGCTATGATTAATGAAAAGCTTAGGTGCTGGCTCCTGACAGTCAAAAATACAGACTGTGCAAAAAAAAAATGACAGTGCAAATACAACGACAGTGCAAAAAACAGACAGTGCAAATACAACTACAATGTGAAATTGACAGCAATATGTACAATGAATAGGCGTCCACATAGTTGAAGGCAGTATTGTTTTAAGTATGGATTGGTTAAAGTGCAGTGCATGCTATTGACCTTATTCTAAAATGCGGAAGTGCGCCTGTTTTCGCGATTGTCTTAGAACTTCCGATTCAGTGGCCTATGGGAGAAATGACTAGGAATAATAAACGGCAGAAAATGGCCAAACTACTTGCT